TACATACTGATATACACCTGAACATCAGCAGGAGAGGACTCTTTAAAGTAGAGACACTACATACTGATATACACCTGAACATCAGCAGGAGAGGACTCTTTAAAGTAGAGACACTACATACTGATATACACCTGAACATCAGCAGGAGAGGACTCTTTAAAGTAGAGACACTACATACTGATATACACCTGAACATCAGCAGGAGAGGACTCTTTAAAGTAGAGACACTACATACTGATATACACCTGAACATCAGCAGGAGAGGACTCTTTAAAGTAGAGACACTACATACTGATATACACCTGAACATCAGCAGGAGAGGACTCTTTAAAGTAGAGACACTACATACTGATATACACCTGAACATCAGCAGGAGAGGACTCTTTAAAGTAGAGACACTACATACTGATATACACCTGAACATCAGCAGGAGAGGACTCTTTAAAGTAGAGACACTACATACTGATATACACCTGAACATCAGCAGGAGAGGACTCTTTAAAGTAGAGACACTACATACTGATATACACCTGAACATCAGCAGGAGAGGACTCTTTAAAGTAGAGACACTACATACTGATATACACCTGAACATCAGCAGGAGAGGACTCTTTAAAGTAGAGACACTACATACTGATATACACCTGAACATCAGCAGGAGAGGACTCTTTAAAGTAGAGACACTACATACTGATATACACCTGAACATCAGCAGGAGAGGACTCTTTAAAGTAGAGACACTACATACTGATATACACCTGAACATCAGCAGGAGAGGACTCTTTAAAGTAGAGACACTACATACTGATATACACCTGAACATCAGCAGGAGAGGACTCTTTAAAGTAGAGACACTACATACTGATATACACCTGAACATCAGCAGGAGAGGACTCTTTAAAGTAGAGACACTACATACTGATATACACCTGAACATCAGCAGGAGAGGACTCTTTAAAGTAGAGACACTACATACTGATATACACCTGAACATCAGCAGGAGAGGACTCTTTAAAGTAGAGACACTACATACTGATATACACCTGAACATCAGCAGGAGAGGACTCTTTAAAGTAGAGACACTACATACTGATATACACCTGAACATCAGCAGGAGAGGACTCTTTAAAGTAGAGACACTACATACTGATATACACCTGAACATCAGCAGGAGAGGACTCTTTAAAGTAGAGACACTACATACTGATATACACCTGAACATCAGCAGGAGAGGACTCTTTAAAGTAGAGACACTACATACTGATATACACCTGAACATCAGCAGGAGAGGACTCTTTAAAGTAGAGACACTACATACTGATATACACCTGAACATCAGCAGGAGAGGACTCTTTAAAGTAGAGACACTACATACTGATATACACCTGAACATCAGCAGGAGAGGACTCTTTAAAGTAGAGACACTACATACTGATATACACCTGAACATCAGCAGGAGAGGACTCTTTAAAGTAGAGACACTACATACTGATATACACCTGAACATCAGCAGGAGAGGACTCTTTAAAGTAGAGACACTACATACTGATATACACCTGAACATCAGCAGGAGAGGACTCTTTAAAGTAGAGACACTACATACTGATATACACCTGAACATCAGCAGGAGAGGACTCTTTAAAGTAGAGACACTACATACTGATATACACCTGAACATCAGCAGGAGAGGACTCTTTAAAGTAGAGACACTACATACTGATATACACCTGAACATCAGCAGGAGAGGACTCTTTAAAGTAGAGACACTACATACTGATATACACCTGAACATCAGCAGGAGAGGACTCTTTAAAGTAGAGACACTACATACTGATATACACCTGAACATCAGCAGGAGAGGACTCTTTAAAGTAGAGACACTACATACTGATATACACCTGAACATCAGCAGGAGAGGACTCTTTAAAGTAGAGACACTACATACTGATATACACCTGAACATCAGCAGGAGAGGACTCTTTAAAGTAGAGACACTACATACTGATATACACCTGAACATCAGCAGGAGAGGACTCTTTAGAGACACTACATACTGATATACACCTGAACATCAGCAGGAGAGGACTCTTTAAAGTAGAGACACTACATACTGATATACAACCTGAACATCAGCAGGAGAGGACTCTTTAAAGTAGAGACACTACATACTGATATACACCTGAACATCAGCAGGAGAGGACTCTTTAAAGTAGAGACACTACATACTGATATACACCTGAAACATCAGCAGGAGAGGACTCTTTAAAGTAGAGACACTACATACTGATATACACCTGAACATCAGCAGGAGAGGACTCTTTAAAGTAGAGACACTACATACTGATATACACCTGAACATCAGCAGGAGAGGACTCTTTAAAGTAGAGACACTACATACTGATATACACCTGAACATCAGCAGGAGAGGACTCTTTAAAGTAGAGACACTACATACTGATATACACCTGAACATCAGCAGGAGAGGACTCTTTAAAGTAGAGACACTACATACTGATATACACCTGAACATCAGCAGGAGAGGACTCTTTAAAGTAGAGACACTACATACTGATATACACCTGAACATCAGCAGGAGAGGACTCTTTAAAGTAGAGACACTACATACTGATATACACCTGAACATCAGCAGGAGAGGACTCTTTAAAGTAGAGACACTACATACTGATATACACCTGAACATCAGCAGGAGAGGACTCTTTAAAGTAGAGACACTACATACTGATATACACCTGAACATCAGCAGGAGAGGACTCTTTAAAGTAGAGACACTACATACTGATATACACCTGAACATCAGCAGGAGAGGACTCTTTAAAGTAGAGACACTACATACTGATATACACCTGAACATCAGCAGGAGAGGACTCTTTAAAGTAGAGACACTACATACTGATATACACCTGAACATCAGCAGGAGAGGACTCTTTAAAGTAGAGACACTACATACTGATATACACCTGAACATCAGCAGGAGAGGACTCTTTAAAGTAGAGACACTACATACTGATATACACCTGAACATCAGCAGGAGAGGACTCTTTAAAGTAGAGACACTACATACTGATATACACCTGAACATCAGCAGGAGAGGACTCTTTAAAGTAGAGACACTACATACTGATATACACCTGAACATCAGCAGGAGAGGACTCTTTAAAGTAGAGACACTACATACTGATATACACCTGAACATCAGCAGGAGAGGGACTCTTTAAAGTAGAGACACTACATACTGATATACACCTGAACATCAGCAGGAGAGGACTCTTTAAAGTAGAGACACTACATACTGATATACACCTGAACATCAGCAGGAGATGACTCTTTAAAGTAGAGACACTACATACTGATATACACCTGAACATCAGCTGGAGAGGACCTCTTTAAAGTAGAGACACTACATACTGATATACACCTGAAACATCAGCAGGAGAGGACTCTTTAAAGTAGAGACACTACATACTGATATACACCTGGAACATCAGCAGGAGAGGACTCTTTAAAGTAGAGACACTACATACTGATATACACCTGAACATCAGCAGGAGAGGGACTCTTTAAAGTAGAGACACTTACATACTGATATACACCTGAACATCAGCAGGAGAGGACTCTTTAAAGTAGAGACACTACATACTGATATACACCTGAACATCAGCAGGAGAGGACTCTTTAAAGTAGAGACACTACATACTGATATACACCTGAACATCAGCAGGAGAGGACTCTTTAAAGTAGAGATACTACATACTGATATACACCTGAACATCAGCAGGAGAGGACTCTTTAAAGTAGAGACACTACATACTGATATACACCTGAACATCAGCAGGAGAGGACTCTTTAAAGTAGAGACACTACATACTGATATACACCTGAACATCAGCAGGAGAGGACTCTTTAAAGTAGAGACACTACATACTGATATACACCTGAACATCAGCAGGAGAGGACTCTTTAAAGTAGAGACACTACATACTGATATACACCTGAACATCAGCAGGAGAGGACTCTTTAAAGTAGAGACTACATACTGATATACACCTGAACATCAGCAGGAGAGGACTCTTAAAGTAGAGACACTACATACTGATATACACCTGAACATCAGCAGGAGAGGACTCTTTAAAGCTAGAAACACTACATACTGATATACACCTGAACATCAGCAGGAGAGGACTCTTTAAAGTAGAGACACTACATACTGATATACACCTGAACATCAGCAGGAGAGGACTCTTTAAAGTAGAGACACTACATACTGATATACACCTGAACATCAGCAGGAGAGGACTCTTTAAAGTAGAGACTACATACTGATATACACCTGAACATCAGCAGGAGAGGACTCTTTAAAGTAGAGACACTACATACTGATATACACCTGAACATCAGCAGGAGAGGACTCTTTAAAGTAGAGACACTACATACTGATATACACCTGAACATCAGCAGGAGAGGACTCTTTAAAGTAGAGACACTACATACTGATATACACCTGAACATCAGCAGGAGAGGACTCTTTAAAGTAGAGACACTACATACTGATATACACCTGAACATCAGCTGGAGAGGACTCTTTAAAGCAGAGACACTACATACTGATACACACCTGAACATCAGCAGGAGAGGACTCTTTAAAGTAGAGACACTACATACTGATATACACCTGAACATCAGCAGGAGAGGACTCTTTAAAGTAGAGACACTACATACTGATATACACCTGAACATCAGCAGGAGAGGACTCTTTAAAGTAGAGACACTACATACTGATATACACCTGAACATCAGCAGGAGAGGACTCTTTAAAGTAGAGACACTACATACTGATATACACCTGAACATCAGCAGGAGAGGACTCTTTAAAGTTTT